GGCGGAGGCTGTGCTGGGGGCGGTGCGGGGGTCGGCGGTGGCGGCGACGGGGCAAGGAGGGACTCCGGCAGCTCATCGTCGGCGAGGGTCACATCGTCCTCATCCAAACGCACCTGCGGAGGCCGGCGCACCAGCCCATCCCGGAGCGAGTCGGCGGTGGTCAGCGACAGGCTGGGCGGGTCGGGCGAGTCGAGCGGGCTGCCCGCCGGGGTGCCGCCGCGGGCCGTGTTGAGGTAGATGCTGCGGGCGGAAAGGAGGGCGGTCGTTTACAACAAGGAGTACAACAATTTTCTCACAATTTTTGCGTAATTTTGACGGTTTTCTAAACGTATTTTCAATGGTTATTAAAGTGGTTTTGGCAAAATTTTACGCAGTTTTGAAGATATTATTTACCGTCGATTTGTGATTTTTAACGCAACTTTTCAGATTATTCTGAAGGAAAGATACTCACATCTGCCTCTGGATGAGGTTCTGCCAGACGGCCTTGTGCTCAGCGCTGGCCGCCCGCAGCACGATGGTGCGCCGACGGTCGCCCTTCTTGGTCTTCTTGGTGGTCTCCCCGAGGCCGGTCGGGGACGGTGACGTGGAGCCGTCCACCATGAGGCGGAACTCGGTCGCTGCGCAGGCGAAGGGAGTCACAGTTTAGACAAAAATACGACACACAGGAGGAATGACTGTTATTTCGATATATGGTCGCAATATCGATAATTCCGACATCTTCCCGCCACCGTTTCGACGCCGGCCCACGAACCTCTCCGCTTGATGCTGAAGGCGGCCTGGGTGATGGTGATGAGGCGCAGTGGCTCCTCGGAGATGAAGAGCACCCGGTCGCGGGACACCTGTGCGAAGAGCAGCAGGTCGGTGAAGAGCAGCGCCCAGTAGCGGCGTTCGGACCGGCCCTCGATGCGCACCAGGTCGCCGCCGAAGATCCACCGCCGGCCTGGCGCCGTCAGCGCAAAGGGCTGCGGAACAATACAAACAAAACAATTAAGACATACATTGAAAAATTAAATTTCTATGTAAATGTTGTAAACGTTGTGCTGAAGCCCACGCAACGCACCTTGCACTTGGTGAACACGAGCCTGCTCTCGACGTCCTGCAGGGTGAGCAGCGGCCTGCCCTCGCCCTCGGGCTCCATGATGCCCGACGAGGTGGTGAGGCCCCGGTACGCGGCCTGCGGAGCACGGCGTCGGAGGATCAATATCAGATTAAGACATGCTCACCAATAAAGGCCGACGAAATTAGCTACATAGCTGGATACGGGACAAATAATTTTATAGCTATGAGCTAAAATTCCTCAAAAAAATTAGCCATTTTGCCCCCCCAAAATTGGCTGGCTAGCTAATTATTTTAGCCTTATACCTAAAAATAGCTTAAATTTTAGCAATATAGCTAAACCAAAAATTAGCTATCCCGTATTTAGCTATTGGTTTAGCTAATGGTTTTGCCCGTTGCACGCACCTGGAACTCGTGCACCGCTTTGGTGAGCAGCGGGTAGTCGTCGTCCGAGTGCCTCGTGAAGTTGTGGATGGTCTGGAGCAGCTTGAGGATCTCCCGGTAGTGCTGCAGGGAAATGATTTAGGGGGTTTGACCCATTAGGACTGTGCTGGAAACCCTTTTGATTTTGAGCAGTTGTAAATAACCCGAGCTGCTACTACCTCGAGGGGCTTGTGCAGGAAGGCGGTGAGGTCCGGGCGGCGCCGCGGCACGGCGGGGTCGTTGAGCGTGCGCATGAACTCGGGGTTGCGCGTCTTGTTGACGAGCAGCGCGTCGGCCACCTTGAGGCCGGAGCAGTAGCGGTGGTAGGCGACCGTCATCTGGGGGCACACGGCCATGTAGACCTGCGCCACCGAGTTGACGAGCGGCTCGCCGTCCTCCTGGATCAGGCGCTCGAGCACCTCCTCGGTGATGCGGAGGATCTGTAAGGGCCGAGGATGGCGTCAGGTAAAATGCGGGTGGCGTGGCGCAGCTAGGGCTGTACGATATCACGGTATCTCGATGTCGATACAAAATCGTCTGATATCGATGGCTCGATACTATCTCGATATCGAAGTATCGAGGTTGGTCGATACTACGATAGATCGCGATATATCGTCCATTTTCAGACATGTCGTTTCTAGATATGGTTCGATATCGCGATTTCACCGGTTATCACTCGATATTATCGACACTCAATGTTCGACACTTGGTCTATATCGTATCGCAATATAAAAATCTGGATACCGCACTGCCGCATGTACAGCTTCAAATGTACCGCATTTTTTCGTTTTACATATAGCATATATTTTTTCCAGCGTGTTTTTGATTTGATGTTTGCAGTTTGTTTCCAGTGCGCCGCTGGGTGGGGTGGCTTTGCTGACTCGCCGTGCTTGCGGTCTGGCGGGGCCACACCCATGCGGTCAGGAGGAGCGCGGGCGGACGGACGGACGGTAAAGGGGGGAGGGGGGTGGACAGACGGACAGCTGGGGG